TTTTTTTTTTGTATAATTTAAAAAAAAATTTTTTTTACATTTTTTAAACTTTTGCTATTGTTGCACCTAAATGACCATAAAAAATTGCAGTTTTAAGCACTCAGAAGTAGAAATTATTGAAAATCTAATAAACTTAAAATTATTGAATTTTACTGAGACTGAATTGAAATAACAAGTTTTTGAATATAAGCATGCCAAAAAACAACTTAGTGAATTTGGAAAATTTTAGGGAAACATAACTTCACAGAAAATCCACTTTTTTAGCTTTTTTTTGTATAGGTTTTAAAACTCTGGCCTTTACTCTACCAGTCAAAAAAATGTAAAAAATTTTGTGATTTCAAGTGGAAAAAGTGAATCAGCTGACCTAGAACAGTATATATATATTTACATAACAAGATATACCTAATGTTTTATACTAAACTTATTTATAAACAGGTAAATAAATGAAGAAATAAAGAAATAAAAAGCGTACGGGTTGTTTTACGCTAGTCTGCACGCTTTTTTCACTTGGTGTTTCAAAATTATTACACCTTTTCTAATTACCAGAATCTGAGCATGACTGAAAAGACGAAAAGAGAGGCTGGAAAAGTGGGTTCTTTGCGCAATCTCTTCTTTCAAAACTTTTAAAATTTGCATGTTTTTCCATTAAGATATTTACCTTCCAAACTCTTGGTCCAGCGCAAGCTTGTTTAAATTTAATGGCTTTTTCGTTAGATTTTTTCTTTTTTTTTTTCTGCTCTTGAAAATAATACATTTTTTGGTCTTTGCAAAACAAGTAAATTAGTACGAAAAATTATAAATTTTAAAAATGTAAACATAGACGTTTTCTTAATTTGAAAGATAGAGACTTTTTTTGTAAAATTTTTTGCTCTGTAGCACATGGCAGTTTGGCAATGTGCCTCTGACAAAGTTGAGAGTTAGGTATCGGGAAGCGAGCCGAGACTGGCAAAAATCCATGACTGTTGCAGCAATAGCAAATACCTACAATGACAGCTTCACTCTCAGCTCCAGAATCTAGATCTGAAAAACGATGTTAACATACCCTATTATTGCCATAAGGTACGTTTAAATTATTAAAGAATTGTTGAAGATTTTGTATTTGGTAAAAAAATTTACAGTTTATTGTTTTTCAGCTAAAAAAAAGCTTTTTCTATTGGCGCTTAAGATGCTGGGTTAAGACAGAGAGCTTCAAGCAATGGAGAGGATGGCTCTAAGATGTTAGAAGCATTTTTACAATTTGCATCAACATTCTTTTGGTTCTACAGACTAATACTAGTTCAGGTCAACATTCTTTCGTCGATCTTTCCAATTGTAATCTTTTAAGTCAAACAGGTCGTAAGAAGCTTGCGTTCGGCATTCTAAGAACTGAAGCAACAAACCCCCTCAATTTTTTCAAGATTTCAACGCTTCAGAGTCTACATGCCAAGCCCAGTAGCATCTGCATTACAAGTTTTTTCCGTTGCTAGATGTGAAGGAGAAGAAGCGAAATTTGTTATTGCCGGCGTTTACAAAGATTTTTTTAGACTAGTGAAATTTAAAATAGTGATACTGTTATTTCGTAGCCGTTAAGAAAAACGACAGCAAAGAAATACTCTTCTTTGACTGTTGCAAACCGCAAGATTTACGAAGCTAAGACTGTTGAGACAAAGGAATTCCATGACTTCGCCACTGTAAAAATTGCTGTGATCTTGCTGTAACAACATTGTATTTTTATTGCTATTGCCGAGCTCAACAACGCCTAACTCTTAACTTTTTCAGAGGCAGATTGTGAAACTTTATTAACCAGAAAATTGTGCAAAAGAAAAAATAATTCTTTTTTAAAGTTTGAAAAAATCTAATTTTATATTTTTTAAAAATTTCAACTTTTTTGAATTCTACTCGTCTGTTTTGCAGATTTAAAACCTGCAGTATTGTAGAAGAAAATAAAAATCAATTTCAGAAAATGGCTGAATTTTTTAAAGGTTGAAGTGAACTACAATTCCAAAAGAGTAAGCATGCCAAGCAAAAACCTTTAAGAAGTCTACTTTTTCGAGTTTTCTTTTTGGATTTTTAAATCTAGATCCAAACTTTATTTGACAGAAAATTTTGAAAAAAATAAAATATCACATTAACCAAAATTATTTCTAACTATAATGGTTGTGGTTACTGCAAATGTTATTGTTGTAGGTTTCACCGTCGTTTGCTTTCACTGTTGATGCATTTGTAAAAAAACTGCTGTAAATATTTTTGCTGAAGAAAAGAAGTTTTAAGGTAAATAAAGTTGAAGGAGAAGAGACACGGAAGTGAAAAAGAAAAAAAAGTAGTTGTGGGACAGCTTTGTAAGTTGTTGTTTTTGCACTAACTGTGTTTCTGTTCCAAAAATCTTTGCAAGCGCAAAATATAAATTTAAAAACAAATTTGGAAAAGAAAGTAAGTACAAAAGTTTTACAATTGAAAAGTCAAGAAACTGTTGGAGCAGTTTTTTTCAGAAATAAATTTGATTTTAGAGCTAAGTAAACAGAACAAACGGGTAGGGGAAGGTGTTAGGGAGAGACAGCAAGGGAAGAAATTCACAGGTAAAAATACCCACCGAAACCGCCGTTAAATTAATTGTCAGTTTTTGTCGCCAGTTTTATTTCCAGTTTTTCTTTTTTTTTTTTTTATTTTTATTTTTAGGGTACTTTTTTCACTCTGGTTGTCTCACGAGTAGGGTTCTGGAGCATTTAGTAAAATTGTCATCTGCAAGGATGGTTATTGTATTTTGAAGAATGTATCATAAACTGGACTGGTCGATTCATGCGCAACGTCTACACTCTAAACTATAAAGTCACCTTAAACAGATAGTATTCCATTTTGCTTGGTTGTCTACAACGGGCGTAAAGTTTGTCGTTGGTCGTACGGCGATGGACAATGGTCATCGGTGGTGCAGAGAATCCGTATGTGACAGAACATCGACGAATACATCCATTGCTATCAATGAATGTGCCGATTTATTGGTCTGTCAATGAACTGTTCCACGTCTGTGCGCAAGATGTTCATCTTTTGCCTTCAGCAGGACAAAGTGGTGAACTAAACCAGCCACCGATGGTTACAACATTTCAGAAAGCCACTTTCAGATTTCTACCTTGTTCATTCAACTTTTTTTAGCCCTTTTCAACACTTCAATGTTTATAAAAAGATATTTTTTGCTTAAAGAGGAAAAAGGGAATATGAAACGGAATTGAGATGTAAAAATAAATTCAAGGAGTCGGAATTACAGCAGTTGCGGAATTGTTGGCAAAACGAATAGCCATTGTTACCGCATCTACAAAAGTCTGTGCTTTGATTTAACTTTTTTTAGTGTCCTCAATTTTGAAC